TTTTATTTTTATTTTTTCCAAATTTCATTATTTTCAACTGAAAATAATTTATTTTTCAAACTTTTTTATTCTAAAAAAAATTTCATTAATCTCATCAACAATTTCTTCGAAATCTTTTTCCTAGGATTTTAAGTATATTTTTGCTTTTTGATATTTTACCACACATTGCTTTCCATATGTTTTCATAATTCTGGCAAAATTTTTTTTATTATTTTTACCTACATTATTTTGTTCGTAAACTACTTAGTACCCTACTTTTAATACTAAACAATTATTATTATTATTATTATTATTATTATTATTATCATTATTTTTTTAATATCTCATTTTTTCCGAAACATAACTTTTACTGCTAAAATAGAACAGCGGTTATAACCGTACGTTTGCTTATAATCGAATGTTCTCTATTTCATTTATTTGCTTTGCAAGATGGTGCCCTATGCCTTAAGGCCTAGACACATATCCATATGCAAATGTGAACAACTTAAAGACTAAACACAAAGCCTTGCGCCTAGCCCACAGGGGTAATCTTAATCTAAGCTTACGTGTCTATACGTACAGACACATATAGCTACGCTGAAAAGTTTTTTGTTCTCCTAAAAAACTCTTTTATTAATTAAATTTTTTCATAATAATTCTGTCTCGCCAAAAATCATTCTTAAATAACTATTTTTTACAACGCTTTTATCAACTGGTAATACTGTGTGTCCAGACCACCATTTATACCATAAATATAGCAAAGGTATTTATGGCAAACATAGTCTAGATATCAACCTCGTCGTAGGTATCATATCAATGACATACAATTAGAAAAACTCTAGAGGTAGATGTCGCCTCGCCAGAAGAAGTTAAATTTAGCGACTAAAAATATGCACTACATACGCTACAGCGGAAATGGACGACACGCCATTTTTTCTTTAAATTAAATTAATTGCTGCTATATGTATGTACGTTAGACTGCATCACTCTCCATACAAAAAAAAATCGGTATTATATTTCCATTGGAATTATAAAAGCTATTATATTTTAAGACGTCCACCAAAATATTTCGGAAAAATATTGAGATTTAAGCGAGCTGGGCCGATATGAAAATACCTCCAAAAATTTAGTTTTTTATGAATAAAAATAGTTTCTTAATGAACTTTTTGATAAAAGTCCCCTCAGATGACAAAACATATTAGCCTAAAAAATCTGCATAAAAATATTAATCTTAATTAAAATCTGCATTTAAAACTTTAATCTTGGTATTTTTCCAAAACATTTTGGTGGTCGTCTTAAATATAATAAATTTTGTAATCCCGGCGGAAAAAACCGCAACTTTGTTTGGTGATGCAGTCTAATGTACATATGTATGTATGTATATACTAAACGTGAGCAAACAACATTTTGCTTGCATAGTATTCTGTTGTCTTTTCACTGCAAGTTTAATTATTTTAATATCTCATGGAAAATTTTATACAGACAAGACTAAAAAGTAAAAAATAAATAAAATAAAGAAACTTGAAAATGAAAAGCATATCTGAATTGCTATGAAGAGTAATATAGATATGTACACATGTATGTATGTGGGTATATGAATAACGACCGGTTAAAATCGATCTCAAATTTGTACTTTCTCTGTAGAAATTTTAGGTCTATGCCTGACTATTGTCAATTAAATCTAATGCGTTTTATTGCATGCGCTCCACATTTTTCGTTTCAAATCTCATAAATTGTTTATAATCAAATCAAAAGTTATCAAAACAAATTCTATGGGATTGAGATATATTGCTTTCTAATTTTTAGTCCATTTACAAGAGCGTGGTATATTAAAAAGTTTTTTTTTTTATTTTATCTTTCTGGTTTTGATAAAAAAAAAAAATTCTAAAATTTCTTGCTCAAAATATCTAAATGAATACGCAGCACACTCTAAGGCAAGAAAATATAAAACTACTGAAATCTGTCCCACGATTTCCTGATAAATAGTGGAATATAATTTAAGGAAATATGTTTCCTTTAGCCCTGAAAGGGTGAATTCAATCGGCAGATTACAGCTGAGTTTTTGCTGAAGCACCTCATCGCCATCACGACTACACGGCGAGATACTACAGAAGATGCCGCACGCTGCCTACTACTCTCGTCACAATAATTAATGCCCTGTGGTGAACGCACGTTGGCGACGGATATTGCTGCCAGGAGCTGCCACCTTTAGTGCAATACTCTCTGCTTTGTGCTCTGTGACACTGGCAGTGAAAAAGAAGGTGCCAGATTACTCACCTTAGATTATGTTGACACATTGCCATGAAGAATTTCTGCCACAGTGCTACACGGTAGACCCCCTAGTACACGTGAGCGGGTGGCACAGCCGACTGGCATTCAGCCTGCAGCTGTTGTTTCTGTTGCTTGCTGGATTGGTGTGATTGTGAGACTTTTCATGGGCGCCAACCACAGAGAAGCTTTGTTGTTTGTGAATGTATCAGTGTAACCAAATGGGGTGGAGGTCTCTTGTAAAGACTAAATACCTGAGTCCTCCACCTCTAGTACTATATACTATTGAATGTACTTTTTGTATAACATTTACAGGGCAATTCTGGCAACTGTCTTTTTACTAGCCACAGTCTTTCGAAAGAAAAAAGTCTTTCGTAAGGAAATTTTTAATTCTGGCAACTATCGGGAAAGCTCGTTACTGTCTTTCGAAAGACTAATTGAAAGATCTGCTAAATAAATTATAAAAATATATATATACATATATTGTTTTAAAAAAATATAAACGAATAAATAAAAGGGAAAATGAATAAAAATAGTTTTAAAAATCAGATGAAACTAAAAAAGTATATTTTTTTAAAAACAAAAAAATTAAAAAATAAATACATAATACTTTAAAGTTAAAGAACTAAATAAAAAATATTTTCATTTCTAAAACAAGATCTAAAAATTAAACGAAGATTAAGAAAAAAATATTCTGTTTTAAAGAACATAAAAATTTAAATTAAATTAAATTAAGAAACAAAATTTAGGTCAAAAAGAAAAAATACATAAAATGAGTTTCCAGAAATTTAAAAAATACTCGAACTCTCTCTTTTATTCTCTGCTTTATTCACGCGGCCATTGCGACTGTTGGAGTGACGCCACCAAAATGATACACAAGAGGTTTCTCCCAAAATAGATTTTCACCAGGATTGATGAATGAGAGAGCTTTTTTCTAAAACTTTTGCGCGAGAACAACAAAAGTCTTTGGAACTATCTTGCCATCAGTCTTTAATTCGTTTTAATCTACGTTCAAATTGGCCCCATTTAACTTGTTAAATGAAAAAAAGCTTTTTGTAAAACACAATCGTCCACATTGAACATTTGGAGTTAACTTTGACGGTTGTTTGATTCCAAATAACAATTAAAAAAAAATATATATTCAAAATCAAATTTTTGTCTTTCAGTTTGTTTTGTGCGAATGTCTGCTTCATGATATTAACGCATACGGATTACTTAGTGACTTCAAAATGTTTACTTCGTTTGCCCTATTTATCTCTGCGTACGACGAAACCTGATGGGAAATAACTAATTACCGCCTTGGCCTCTTTTTTGGCGGGCAGACCATGCATACAATTTTGATATTTTTTAATTTTTAATATTTCTGGGAATATAATTTTTTTTAATGTTGGCATTTCAAATAAAAGCTTTTGGCTCTTTCTGATTGGCTGAAGCAGAAGAAGCTTTCTGATACAGCTCTGCGCTGAACTGGTTTTCAAACGAGTTATTCAATTTTCCAATAACAATTTCATGCGATTTAACTTGTTTATAAATACATTTTGTTCATTTAACTTATTCAAGCCAACTTAACATGTTTAACTCGTCAATGTGAACGTACTATTATGAAAAACGTTTTACTATCTTAGCCAGAATCACCCTGTTAGGTTCTATTCACATTGTGACTACCACATGAACACACCCGATCCTTCAGAAAGTCTTTATTGCTGCTGTTTTATCTTTGATGCTACTGTGGCACATATCACGTGCAAACAGTTAACCAGTTTGATTTTCTTTCTTTTGATGCATCCTTTTAGCTAGACAGGGTAACATCCTCACTTGAGTCTCCTTTGGAGTGGTAATATTTGCAGAGATTTTGCGTAACAATAAAAACATCAATTTGCTTTAATGCTACTTTTAATTACGAACGTAAAGTAAAATTGCAGATTAGAAGTACGAAATATCAAACAATCACAATTAACCATCAACTGATCTAACTTCGCTCACTAGCAATAATTGCTTGTTACTCATACGCCATGTAGATCCTGGGTGCCACAATATTATTTATGACTTTATTGTTGTAAGTTACGAGCGAAGCCATGGCCACTTGAAAGCAAGCTATAAAATTTGTAGCACGTTCATAAAAGTTTAGCTCAAGCACAGACACGCACACACACCTAGAACTGATGAGTGAGTGGGGGGGGGGGAGTCATTTCAAAAGCAATAAAGGTGAGCGAGCAACATTAGATATGAACTGAATGACTTCACTAACAACAAAGCAAGCGATACACAAAGAAATAAACAAATACGAAAACTTACTACTTTGTGTTGTTCGTCTTTTTGGCCATGTCTGCCTCTAAGTGTGGTGCTGTCGGAATTATGATTAGAGTATTTCCGACGCCAACGCGTCACGTACGCAGAAGTAGCAGGAAAAATAAGCAAAAGAAGTAGAAATAGTAAAAAAAAAAATGGAACAATAACAAAATGACTCCCCCGCATTAAGGTATTTTAGTTTGCTTGCAGCGTCTAACAATTACGGCTTAGACGCCTGAAATGGCTTCATTATGCAATGCATGTGCCGTACGCCCCTCAAATAGGCAAGAACGTTGCCGAAAAAAACTGAACTGAATTGGACTAACAAGAAAAATAAAAAAATGTTTACAAATAAATTTAATTAGTAAAACAAAAATACAAATTACCTAAAAACAAATAAAAAATTATGCAGCAGTAAAGAGACACAAACAAAATAAGTATTTAATTTAATAAAACCTCTAAAGGTTGCTTGCATTCGCTGCGAATTTTTTAGTTTCTATAAAAACGTCCGCGCTGACCACAAACGGTATCAGTTCACAGCTAACCCTATCTAGCACAGCAACAAACTCAACTAAATAAACTATAATGTGTCGCTTTTTCCAAATCCTGCTCATCGCCTGCCTGGCCGTCGCGCTCTGTACCGCTGAAGCGCCACGCTACCGCAGCCGCAACGGCCGCCTACAACTAGCCAAGCAACACAGTCGTTTCTTGGCACGCCAGGAAGTCGCTGAAGAAGCTGGTGTTACGCCATACCCCTCCGCCAAAGAATTGATACCCGAGATTCCATTTGATGAAGCTGCAGCTGCTGCCGCTGCACCGGAGGTACCCGTTGCGCCTGAAACTGATGTAAATGTTTCTGTGAATGTTGATCTCCCTGCCGAACAGCCACCAGCTGATGACGAGGAAGAGGCGGTTGAAGCTACTGCCGCTGATGATGCTGAGGATGAACACGAGCCGGATCTCATCTATGGCCCACCAGAGGCTGAGGACGTGCCAGCTGTGAACGAAATCACACCCGTTGAGGAAATCGAAGCCACCATTGCCGAGGAAGAGGAGCAAGCCGAAGCCGCCGAGGCTGCTGAGGAGGAAATCCAATCTGCGCGTTTGACATCTGGTCGTCGCTTCAACGTACGCAAATTCTCGGCACGTCCAGCCAAGTTGCGCGCTCCTGCTTCTGCCCGTGCACGCACCACTGCCGTCAAGTCCGCACGCATCGTCAAAGCTAAGACATCGACCAAAGTCCGTCCCGCTCGCCTACAGCAATTGCCACAACAACAGCAATTCTTCGTTCCGCAACAATTTGCCGCACAGCAGCAGGCACAGCAACCCTTGTTCTACTATTCTGCCGCTCAATTGCAACAATGGTAAAATTGGATGCCGATTATTCGGAAAAGGTTATAAATATTTAGCATAAAAAAATGTTAACAATTAGAACTAAGACAAGAGGAGTTTATAGGGATACCCATATGTTGTTAAAGATTTTTTTAGACTAAGAATAAAAACATAAAGAAATACAAAATTTTATTCTAAACTTCAAATTAGCTTGAAAATTTATAGCAAGGAATAGCTGGTGCACAACAATAGGTATGCATTTACTATCGACCTTACCATTTTTGCCTCCTTGCCAAGGAGATGGCATTTAAGTGAAGCTTTATATTTCTACACAGGGTTATGCTGATAATTTAAAAAGGAAGCTTACCTCTACTCCATGGCAAGATTTTTGCATTGACGATAAAAGGCTCATCCTAAAACAAACAAAACAAGAAAGGACAGTGCTGTCTTTGGCTATGCCGAAAGCTTCATACCCTTCATGACCATGAACAAATTTTACTTCAAATTAATTACTACTTTTAAGTTAGTTGTTTGGTAAATAGCAAATTTGTTTACCTTCAGTACATACAAACATAGACAAAGGAATTAAATAACAAACACGCATGGAGGATATACTATCTTATAAAGCAAAAGTCTAAATGATTTTCACAATAGGTCTTGTATGGTCGAAAAGTAAACAGGTCACAGAACTTAATAGGTTCATCTGCCTACATGAAAGAGCTTATTCACTAAAACTTTTTCGTGAACAATCAGCGGTATAGGAGATCTATGTAGTAAATATGTAGCTTATAAAGCATCGTTCTTGACGTTTTTCCCAGTAGACTTTGTATGATTATTTGGCTCACAAAATTGCCCGGTTTGAGCAGTCAAAATTGAGGAGTTTTAAGGCATTTCCCCATATCTGAACAATCAGTCGTATGAGAGCTGTAAGTAATAAACAGACAGACTGACATGGCTAAATACTCAGGTCGACGTTCTGATCGTATTGGTATACTTTTTCATGGGTCTATCTCTTCTTTTTCTGGTACTTACAAACATCATGTTCATAAAATGTGCAGCTTAACCCATCCGGTGGGGCTGGTCAAAATTTGTCGAAAATGCTTCCGATGCCAAGCGCTGAGATTAGAACGGCGGTTGTTTTCCCTTCTCGTGTAAGGAGTCGTTCATCTTACCACTCTATGAAAATTGCAGCAGATTAAGTATTTTAAACTATAGTGGAATTACGAAGTTTTGTTCTATTCCTAAAGTATTTGAATTAATAATTACTGAAGAATTATCTTATTCTATATCGCAACATAAGTTTAGTAAAGGGAAATCGACTATATCAAATCCACTAGAATTAACCACACTTCTAACCAATGGATTTAAGTTTAACTTGCAAACAGACGTTATTTATTCCTCTTGTACAAACTTGACCGGATCGGTTTTCCCCCAATTTTCCTGCAATGGATTTCTTTTTATTTAATGGGTACGAAGCGTGTTATTCATATGACGTCTGGCGTACTGCACCTTGACCCACTTTTATTTCTTTTATTCATTAACGATCTTTCAAATATATTCGAGTATTTGCTGTTGACGTTGAGCTCTTCAAGTCCATTAGCACTTCAGAAGATAGATAACGTTTGCAGGCTGACCTGAATAGTTATATGGTGTGAAATAAATTCTATGTCACTCAACTTGAAAAAGTGCAAATTCATATGCTTCTCAAGAAGACCACTTCAATCACTTACTCATATGATATGTGATTATAATGTGGAGCAGATAACTAATTTCATCGAGCGGTTAATAAGTGTGTTTTGCTTTAAAATACCTTAAAGTACCTTACCGCAAAAAAAAGTGGCATTATCTGTAGTGTTGCATGAAGTATTATTATAGCTGACCCTTCAAAAAGTTTAGAAATTAGGATGCTGCTTTAATTTGGATCCTCTTTAGTGGAAATATGAACAATGGAATGGTTAAAAAGTAGCTTACCGTCAATGAAAGCAACATGGAAGCATAAACTTATTTGCATCATGCGAGTGAACAACTCTCAAATCGAATATATAAAAATCTCGTGTCACGGTGTTTGTGGTCGAACTCCTCCTAAACGGCTCGACCGATCTTTATGACATTTTTTGTGTATATATGGCAGGTATGAGAATCGGATGTAAAGTATATTTTATATCGCTAGGTACAGGGGGCGTGGCAACTCCCATACAAACCGAATTTTTCATGCTGAATATCGCTGGAGGTGTTCATGGTGGAGTACTCGAGATCGCAGTCATGTAGAAAAATTGGAGCTATTGGAAAAGGGGAAGTGGCGCCACCCATACAAACCGATTTTTTCCTACTGCATACCTCTGGCAGTGTTCATGATAGAACTGGAAGTACTGGAACTTCATATTCATATATAAAATCAATCGCATAGTCATGAAGAAAAGTTGGGGCTATTGGAAAAGGGGGCGTAGCTCTTCCCCCACAAACCGAATTTTTCATACTGCTTATCTCCGGAAGTGTTTATGGTAGAGTACTCGATCATGGCATGGAGATATGTATATGAAATCAATGCCATACTTTTAGAGAAAATTGGGGCTATGGGATAAAGCGGCATGGCGCCTTTCAAACGCACTGAAACTGTTACGTATCTTTATACACTTTTGCTAGGTTATTTAAGACGGCAATGGAAATGTGTCTTCTATTTGGTGCCAGCTAAAAAAAGAAAAATTAATGCTTTAAAATGTTTAACCCGGCCCATATCAGCAGTTTTGGCGCCACTTAAGAGTAATCCTGCATTGAAACTAAAGTCATTTTACAAATAGTTTGCTAATTTTTGTTTACATTTTTCATAAACCGCATTAAAATTATATGTTGCTTGTCCATTTATGATAATTACAGTTGTAATAATTTAAACACAGTCCAAACAAAAACAGCCAAGTTTGAAAATTAAAGCAAAGCACAAAGAGCCCACACCAACTAACAAATTTACATAAGTTTGAATACGTAATCGAATAAGTAGCACTAAGTAACGTGTTTGCTTAATAAGTACCATGGGAAATCTCTACATATTAATAAGGTGTTTTCGAACTTTTAAGGCCTTTACTGCTAAAACTCAATTCAAACGCTTTTGCGACAAACTAATATAAAAACTAGAAGTCGCTAAGTAAATTGTATCAGTACTCAAGTCACCCAACTTAGTAAAGCACAAACCAACTCAAAATGTCTCGCTTCTTTCAAATCCTGCTCGTCGTCTGCCTGGCCGTCGCGCTCTGTGCCGCTGAAGCGCCACGCTACCGCAGCCGCAACGGCCGCCTACAACTATCCAAGCAACACAGTCGTTTCTTGGCACGCCAGGAAGTCGCCGAAGAAGCTAATGTTACGCCATACCCCTCCGCCAAAGAATTGATACCCGAGATTCCATTCGATGAAGTTGGAGCTGCTGCTGCTGCACCGGAGGTGCCCGTTGCACCTGAAACTGATGTAAATGTTTCTGTGAATGCTGATCTCCCTGCTGAACAGCAACCAGCTGATGATGAGGAAGAAGTGGTCGAAGCTGCTGTCGCTGATGATGCTGAGGGTGAACACGAGCCCGATCTAATCTATGGCCCACCAGAGGCTGAGGATGTGCCAGCTGTGAACGAAATCACACCCGTTGAGGAAATCGAAGCCACCATTGCCGAGGAAGAGGAGCAAGCTGAAGCCGCCGAGGCTGCTGAGGAGGAAATCCAATCTGCGCGTTTGACATCTGGTCGTCGCTTCAACGTAGGCAAATTTTCCGCTCGTCCAGCCAAGTTGCGCACTCCTGTTTCTACCCGCGCGCGCACCACTGCCGTCAAGTCTGCACGCATCATCAAAGCCAAGACATCGGCCAAAGCTCCTCCCGCTCGGCTACAACAATTGCCACAACAACAACAGTTCTTGGTTCCGCAACAATTTGCCGCTCGGCAGCAGGCACAGCAACCCATCTTCTACTACTCCGCCGCTCAACTGCAGCAGTGGTAAAGCGGGCAAGCGGAAATAATTGAAGATATGACTAAGGATTATAGACTAATAGGGATGAAGAGTTTTCAGCGCTTTAAGTAAATATGAGAAGTATAGAAAATTGTTAACAGTTAGGGACGTGGTATAACACGAAAAATTGTTAAAGATTTTTTTAGACTGATAAATATAAACGATTATTTTGAAAAATGTTTGCGAAGCTTGCCTATCTTACTTCCCACAAGGATGCCGCAGCACATTCTGGGGGTTTGGCTATTACGATCTTCTCGTTAAAATAAAATGTCAATGCACTTTTAAATAAAATAAATATGTTTATTTAGGCCATAGTTGACATCTCTGAATCACATTTCGCACAACACTATATTCGTTTGTTCGCTGATCACAACATCTCACACACCTTGCGAACTGCGCAAATACTCAAGTGGTATTTCAAAGTTCTCTATCTTATCCTCATCCGGCTGCGTCCGCTGTGATTCTGATCGCGTCGGATTCGCACGAATATACTGCTCCGACTGTTGCATAGCCGATTTAATTTTCTGCTGCTGCGCCTGCTGTTGCTCGTCGGACTTTTGTAAGCGATCAAACTCTTCCTCCGGGTCCTGTTCATATTCATATTCGGCGCGAAAGCCGTCAGCACCAACATCATCGTCCGAGGTGCTGGGGGGCAACTCTGCTGGCGGCCCATAAATGTCGTGCGGATTCGGCAACTGTGGTCTGCCAGAAGGTGGTCTGATTGGCCATCTGACTGGCGGTGAGCCATAAATGTCCACTGGGCGGCGATGTGGTACCTTGCCTTGCATGCGTTCGCCGCTTTGCGGCGCCCATGGCTGCCGACCTTCGTTTGGCAGTTCGAAAGTTTGCGATGGCCGATAACCAGAGGGGCGATAACCGCCTCTGCGCCGTGATTGCTCTTCATCAGCACCCGGTTTGTACCGGAAAGTCTGCGGGTATCGATGATGCAGCACGCGATGACGATGTCGCGCTAAGCGTGTGGACTCCTCAGCAGCACTCATGCTGACTGCAAGTATTAAAATCACAGCTATAAACATTATTTTTAACATTTTAGAGAGGCTCTTTGTGGCTTTCTTTTGCAGGTTTTCTTGCAAATTTGTGACGCTCCGATTTGTTGTGAAGCCTTTATATGCGAAATTGAATGCGAAAACTTGGCAAGGCATCAAGTGGCTTACAAATGCGATAGAATATTGTTTTCTGTTTTGAGATTCTATGTAAACATTTCATTTAGAAAAATATGGTTAATTAAATGCCAATTTTCCACCTGCCAACTCGGTTTGAGTCATATTGGCCGCCACTGTAACCTCCAGGGTGGCAGTGTCTGATTTGATTTTAGCACACGTGAACCGATTACTCTGCGTCCTCGAGTGTCAAATTGAGTTTTTGACTTAGTTTTATCGCCTGAAACGTTAGCAAAAAATATTACTGTGTGTCGATTTTGACATTCGGACAGTGTTTAGGTTTAAGTGAAGAATATTGGGAAATATGTAGGCAAGAGTTGCTAATGAAAACGTGAGCTTTCTTCATATCATTTTATGCCACAATAAGTAGATCAACATGGATCGAAAGTTAAAAGTGCACAAAAATTTTCTTTAATTTAAGAATTGGACATCGATTTTTGGTAATTTTAAAATTGGACAAAATATTCAGCATTTTTAAAACCGGACATAAATTCTTAACAATTAGAGACTGCATAATTTTTTGGTAATTTAAGAAATCTGGGCATAAATTTAACCCTGTCATTACCATAAGCCTATAACCAAAAAATTCATGATTTCAATTGTAAAGTTAAATAAAATAATAGTAAAATAAAAAAAAATATTTTTTCCTAAAAATTTGCATAAATTTTAACTAATAACTGATTTTTTCCTAATTTTTTATTAAAAAAAATTCGTTAATCTCATAATTTCTTCCTATAATATAATTTTTTCCAAAGCTACTTTTTAATTGTTTTTCCCCAAATTGTTTTTCAAATAATGTTTTTTGCCCAAAGCAATAATTTTTTTTCCAAAAGTAATTTTTTTTATATATAAGCTTTTATAATCGTAAGACATCATTTTCTTAAAAAAAATGCCTAAAAACATTTTAAAAAGTTTTTGCCCCAAATATTTTTTCCTCAAAATTACTTACTTATGTAAGGGAAATTTTTACGCTCAATAACTTATTATTTTTTTGTAGTCATATTGGCAAAAATATTCTTTTTTTTGGTAAACTTTTTTTTAAATTTTCTAAACATATTTCTTTATTAAAAGCCAGTTTTTTCCTAAATTACATTTGTTTCTATAATTAAAGTTTCATTTTATTAAAACAATATTTGCAATACAAAAACTTGTTTCAAAACTCTTTACAAAAATATTTTCTTCTATAATTTCTTGATAAAAATAGCTTAATGAGGCACATTCTAATAATAGAAAATACTATTGAAAACTTACGCAATACCCATATGAGTGGAATAACTTTTGAATAAAAATTGACAAAATTTGACATTAAATTTTGGTAGTTAAAAATAGAACAGCATTTTTATATCTAATAGCTTACATACATTTTGGGTCATTTTAGAACTGTGCATATGTAGATTTTGGGCATTTAGAACTGGACATGAATTTTAACTGGAACAAATCTTTTGCCAATTAAAATCTGGACATAATTTTTTAATTATTTGAAAACTGAACACTTAGAAATAATACTGACAAGTGGATAAAATCCTTGGCTTTGAAATATGTATAAAATTGCGAACAGTAAAATAATAAAAACGATAACCAAATGTTAAAAACGATAAAAGCAGGGCAGTACTTCTAAAGTGGAAGGTGCACGCTCAATCGTGCTATACATCTGCACACGTTATTTGCGTTATTCTGCTAAAACATTTAAACCATCAAAAAAAAAACACATTTGATCAACCACTGAACACTGTACCAACGTTTGGGCCTGCCTTATCGTATTCAACAAGTGTCAGATTTGAACTTCAAACAACGAAATTTGCAACGCTTGCATACAAAGTAGCAGCTTATAGGCAAACAATGAAAACAACAACAAAACAGTATATAGTAAGCTTCAATTAAATGAAAATGAAACCTCAGCTGTAAACATTGGCAGCTGCTTTTTGGAAAGAGTAGTTAGTAGAAAAACATAGAGAAAAACAACAAATAAAACAGGCTTTCACTGCCAGAAAGCTCGTACTCTCTACAGATGGACTTAGACAGACGGAACAGGCAGGAGTGACTGTGCTTCTGGTGCTGGAAAAGCACCTCAATCACAGTTCAATGTTCGCACAATTCAATTTAAAACATTTAAGGCGCTTCGTTAAACTTTGGCAAGTTTGAAACGCACGAAATAGCTAAGCGCAAAAATAAAAGCAAGCCATCAGCTGTAAGGTCGAATATAATAGCAGCATGTGTGAAATGCAACAATAACAAACAAAACTTCAAGCGTTCGATACAAAGTTTTATCTTTGCAACTTACAACTTTGTCCTTTTCGTTGCTTTTTATTGTGGTTGTTTGCGTGTGGTTTTCAACAGTCGCCGACCACTGTCACTATCAATGGCTTTGTCAGATCTGTGGTTGTGCCTGTGACTGTGAATGCGGCCGTGGCTATAGTCCGCGCAACAACGACCGACAGCCGACCCGCCCATTCATGCATGCCGTTCACGTAGCGGCGGCTAAAGCTCAAGCGACGCTGTCTTGTTGTTTGCTGTGTCGATTATGTGTGTATGTGTTTGGTGATTACCCTGTGGAGAAAATCACTAGTTCTGACCTAGGGATGTTAATTTTTCGGCTTTTTTCCGATCCCGAGATTAGTACCGGGATTTAGATATGCATTACTCTTCAACAACTTGAATCGAAAAAATTGCTTCTATATTGTTTGAGAAGCTCTCCTACCATTAAATAAATAATAAATAAATGGGTTTGAAAACATGGTACATTTAAAAAATATCATTGTTGCCCACACTAAAACGTTTACTGCTGGAAATATGCCTTTTTCCATACCCCATATACCATATATTTCCCCCTTTTTTTTAACAAACCATCTTACAGATAACTTATTCAATTTGCAAAAGCTGGAAAAAAACAGTTGCTTGTAGATGAATTCAAAATTTGTATGGCTCAATTAATTTTAAACGTTACTTCTTTTGTTTTGAAAAAATTATAAAAATTAAATTGAGCGAAAACAAAAAGCAAAGCCAAATAAAAGTAAAAGAATCAACATTGAACTGCGTCAAAATGAAAATAAGGGAGCACGAATTTCGATGTGAAGCAAAACTCTCTAGGAAGACAATACCTGTAATTATTGTACCATGGTTTGAAACCAACTTTTTTATTTAAAGAGGCGTTTTCATTTTTTCTCTCTGACCGCAGAATTTATTTTGAAGGACTTTGTAATTTCAAAAATATGATTAATTCCAAAAATTATTAAAAAATTCAATGCAATGTAGAATAAAAATATGGGTAAGATATGCAATAGGAAATTTCTTTGGAATTTAAATAATTTAAATTTTTTGGATTCACCAGGAAGAATAGGAAATTTTTAAGCTGCCAAAGTTAGAAGAACGAAATTCGAACAAATATTGCGAAATTTCAAGGATAAAATTTTAAAATGATATTTTCAATATTTAACAGCCCTTCTGCACTAGATACTTGAATATGTTTAAGTTCCACAGAATTTCCTCATTAATTTTATACCCATACTTCTTCTCTAAGCACATTTCTCTGAATTTTTTAAATAATTTTTGAACTACTGACGTCAGAGTGAAAAACTAAAAACGCAATTTTTCTATATTTGGCCTATGGTTTCGCGAATATATTAATCTTTGTGTTTAACATTTACTATCGCGCGGCGTTATATATACAATGAGCTAGACATTTATAAAAAAAAATATTAATTATTGAATAAAAAAAGAAATATAGCCAATACTGGTCAGAAAAGGAGTTTCTATTATTGCCATCAGTGCAAATTACAAATCCCGAAAATCCCGTGATTACTTGCCAAGAATCCCGGGATTTTCGAGACCTTAGAAAGTTCGGGATCCCGGGATCCTATTCTGAACTGGTGCGCTTCTAGCACATTTAGATCCAGAACTGGTTCGCGATAAAACTCTTTG